ACGTACAAACGCACGCCCTCCCGCACGCACGTACATACACACGCACGCCCTCCCGCACGCACCCACGTACAAACGCACGCCCTCCCGCACGCACGTACATACACACGCACGCCCTCCCGCACGCACCCACGTACAAACGCACGCCCTCCCGCACGCACGTACATACACACGCACGCCCTCCCGCACGCACCCACGTACAAACGCACGCCCTCCCGCACGCACGTACATACATACGCACGCCCTCCCGCACGCACGCACGTACAAACACACGCACACCCTCCCGCACGCACGTACATACACACGCACATACACACACACGCACGCCCGACCGCACGCACTTACATACACACGCACGCACACACACACAGACACGCGCGCGCATCCACGGATACAGCTATAGAGAGAGGCTGAAAGAGAGAGTGCATGTGTGTTCGAAAGTGAGAGAAAAGCTAATAGAAGAGGGAGAGAGAGAGAGCGATGGAGCGAAAGAGAGAAATAGAGGGGAGAGAGAGAGAGAGAGCGCGCGCGAGAGAGAGGAAGAGAGCGCGCAAACGAGAGTGACAGGCAAGGGAGATTAGAAGTAATTAAGGACCGGTTTTCTACGCAAGTATAGATTCAAGGTTTTCTTGTGAGTTCCCCCCACCAGCACAACAATCCGTCGGTAAAAGAAAGCGTTTAGACCAGCCGAACGAGAAAGAGCGATAGAGAGAGCGAGAGAGAGAGAGAGAGAGAAAGAGAGAGAGTCAACGAGAGTAGGGAAAGCGATCAGAAATAATTAAGAACCGGTTCTATGCACGTCTAGATTCCCAAGGTTTTCCCATCAGCCAATCCCTTCCGCCTTAATCCGACAAAACGTTTAGACCTGCGGAAAGCAATGACAGCTATTAAGACACAGCCTTACTTCTTACATCGTACAATAAATCAATGTTGAGAAATATTTTGCTAAAGAGAAAGTGCGCATGTGCGTGTGTGGTGGAAGCTAACCAGGGACAGAGAGCCCGCGAGCGAAAGGGAGGACGAACGAGATATCGAAAGTGAAAGAGCACTAACGAGAGAATCTATATATATATATAGAGAGAGAAAGAGAGAGAGGGAGAGAGAGGGGGAGAGTGCAGAGAGAGTAATTGTTAGAGACAGAGAGAGTGGGGAGAATGAAATAGAGAGACAGAGAGAGAGAGAGAGAGAGAGAGAGAGAGAGAGAGAGAGNCCTAACGTGTTTTTCCACATCACCGATAAGTCACCGTTGTTGATGATTCACCAATTAGAGGAACACTGTAAGAAAAACATGCGTATGAAAGCGTAGCGGCTTATGCTATCTAGAAAATACATTTTTGTTTTTTCTTCTGCGCTGCAAAAAGTTAAGGTAAAATCTCCTGCCCTGATAGACCAGTAATGCGTTCTCTCACGGTGAAATCCTTCCGATCGCAGATAGATAAAAAAAAACAGCTTTCAGCTTTTTTCCGAAATAATTCACCGAAAAAACAAACGATGTTTTCTCTAGCGGAAAAATCAGAGTTCTTTTTTGTTATCGCGAGAAAATCTCGACGAGAAAATCAGCCACTCAGCGACTAATCTCACAGGGAATACCGATTCTATACAGAACATTCCATACAGCCGACCTGTGACTGGTCACGCACGCTGCCTCAATTCGCGTAGGCCCATTACTCGGTAATACCCCGACGTCGACGTGCGAAAAGACTCGGTTACGAGATTATACGGATTTCGGAGAGAATATAAGCCCGTGTACGTGGTATTTGTTATTTATATATAAATACGTGTGTGTGTGTGTGTGTGTGTGGTGGGTGGGGGGTGGGGTAGAGGAGGCAAGAGAGAGATGGATTGGAGAGCGGAAGGAGCAGAAAAGGAAGGGAGCAGACTAAGAGAACGGGAAGAGAAGCTATGAAAGAGGTTAGGGGGGACACGAGAGGGGAAGGGCCGAGTAGAGAGTGAGCGAGAAGAGAAGACAATGGGGAAACGGAGGCGAAGAATGACCGCCCCGTGCCCGGGACAGAAGAAAGAGGTGGAGAAGAGAAAAGGGACTAGGCAGAACTAGGAAAAGGGAAATTGGGAAGGAGAATAGGGAGCGAAAATGAAAGGAGAGGAGAAGCGAAGAGAGGGGAAAAGGAGCGCACCAGGGGAAATGGACCCGGCGACCAGAAAGAGCAGGACAGGAGGAAAGGACGACGAAGGAGAGACAAGGATTTTAGAGGAATAGCAGGGCGAGTAGGGAGGAAAAGGATCAGAGGAAGCGAGGTAGACGGCGAGACACGAAGAGAGGTAGAGGCAGAAGGGCGAGGAGGCAGAAGCGAGAGGTGCGTAGGGAGCACGACGGAGAGAAGAGGAGAGCTAGAGGGGAAGAGATGGACTAGAAGGAAGAGGGAGTGGGGGAGACGAGGAGAGGGGAAAGAAGAGGGAAAGGGAAAGTAGAAAAGAGAGAGGGGAGTGCGAGAAAAAAATGTGAATGGAGGAGATGAGGAGCGACGAAGGGGGAGAGGCGAGAAGGGGAATTTGGGAGATTTGGAGAGTCGAAGGAGAAGAAGAGGAGAAAGTGGGGGAAGATCAGCCAGAAGGGGGAGGGAGGGAGATGGGGGATTAGGAGAAGTGAGAGAGAAATGACCGCCTGGGGAGGATGGCAGGCGGCTCAGACGAGGAGAGAGAAAGAGAAAAAGAGAGATTCACGACGACGGAGACGCGCAGCAGGAGATGACCGGCGAGAAAGAGAAGCAGCGCGGGAGGGAGGACGGAAAGAGGGGAGGAGAACAGAAGGAGGAGAGAAGGGGAGGGAAGGGATGATGGCAGAAGACAGGAAAGAGGACGAGGGAGAGTAGAGGAGACAGGAAGGGAAGGGGAGAAGGAGGAGAGGAGAGAGGAGAGGAGTAGAGAGGAAAAAGAAGGGGGGAAAGGAATAGGAGGTGAGAGCTAGAGAGACGAAGCGAGGAAAAAGAAGCGGGGAGCGAGCACCGTAAGAGGACGTAGAGGACAGAAGTAGGAGCAGGCCACAGAAAGGGGTAGAGAGATTGAGGAGAAGAGGGGGGGCGATCGAAGGAAGGAGTAGAGACGGAAGGAGCGAGAGAGACGCATAGTGAGACTACGATAGGCGAGAGACGTAAGAGGGTAGAGAGACGGAGAGCAGGGAGGGGGAGGGAGAAGGAGGGGGGGATAGGAGGAAGGGAGAGGGAGGAGCAGAGAGGAGAGAGGGAAGGAGAAGGAGGAAAAAGGAGGAATAGGCGGGAAAGGAGGGAGAAGGTAGAAGGGGGAGAGAAGGGGTTTAAGAAGGAGGGATGGAGGAGCGAAGGGATGGAAGGAAGAGAGGAAGAGAGAGATGATAGGGAATAGAGGAAGCCTAGGCAGGGGGAAGACGAAGAAGGGAAAGGGAGGAAGGAGGTTGCCCCCCCGCCTAGAGAACGAAACGACGAGAGGTAGGAGAGATAAAGGGGGAGGAGAGAAAGGGGAGAAAGAAAAAGAAAGGAACGGGAGGAAACGGATTTAGAGGGGGTAGCGGGAGGGGAGAAGAGAGAGGAGGAGGGATGAGGCATTAGGTAGAGATGGGAGAAAGACGGAGCGAGAGGAGACTCAGGAGGAAGCAGGAGGAGGTAGGAGAGAAAGAGAACGTAGGAGAAGAGAAAGAGAGGAGAGGACGGAGGAGAATGGGTATGAGAAAGGAAAGAGAAGAGAGACGGGAAGACAAAGAGGGAAGAGAAGGAAGAAGGAGAGAAATAGGGACGAGCAGAAGAGAAGGGGTTGATTGAGAGAGGTAGGGAGACGAGGAATAGAAAGATAGGAAGATGGAGGGAAGAGAACGAGAGCGAGAGAGGAAGAACGCAGAAGGAGAGAGAGAGAGTAGAAGGGGGAAGAGGGGAGAGGAGGGAGAGGAGGAAAAAGGAGAGGACAGAGGAGAGTTATAGGAATAGAGGAAGGGAGAGAGGCAGAGGGGAAAGGGGAGGGCTGATGAAGAGGAGAAGGCGAAGACCGGAAGAGAGAGGATGGAGATGAGAGAGGAGAGCAGAGAGAGAGGCAGGAGCGGCGGAAAGGAGATAGGGCGAGAAGAAGGGGAGAAACGTAGGAGAGGGAGAGAAGGAGAGCAGAGGGATTAGAGGAGAAGGGGAATGGTAATGATTGGAGGGAAAGCGGGAGGGAGAGAGGAGAGAAGTAGAGAGTAGAGAGGAAAGAGGAGAGGGTAGGGAGGGAAGAGAGGAAAAGGGAGGTGAAGGCAGAAGGAAGAATTGAGGTGATTAGGGAGAGGGAGAAGGGAAGGGAAAGAGGAGAGAGAAGAAGAAGAGACGGGAAAGGAGAGAAAGGGGAGATAGGAGAGAGGAGAGAGGAGAAGATAGAAGGTAGATTGTAGAGAGAAGATTAGAGGAAGGAGAGGCGGGAGGGAAGAGAAGAGACGAGGATGGAGAAGGAGGGAGTAGGAGAGGAGGAGAAGACAGGGAGGAGCTTAAGATGGAGAGGAAAGAGAGGGAGGGGAAGAGAAGGAGGAATAGGAGAGGAGGGGAAGGAGGAAGGTAGGCACTAGAGAAGGGAGAGAGGAGAATTAGACGAAGAGGATAGCGAGCTAAGGATAGAGAGGGAGGAGAAAAGGAGTTGAAAGGAGCAGGCGAAGACGGTAGAGAAGGGCAGGGAAGATATTGAGAGGGGAGGGGGAAGAAGGAGAAGGAAGAGAAGAGAAGAGGACGTTAAGAGGAAGAGGAGAGAGCCAGAGGCGACGGATTGAGGAGAAGAGAGGAGAAAGAGAAGAAGAGAGGAGTGGAGAGGGAGATGAGCAGAAGGAAAAGAGGGAGAGGTAGAGGGGGGAGATAGAGGAGGGAGGAGAATGAGAAAGAGAAGAAGAAAGAAAGCAAGGGAGAGAAGAGGAGAAGGTAGAGAAGAGGGAAGGAGAGAGAGAGGGGTGGAAGAGTTATGGTTACTGAGGAGGGAGAGGGAATAGATAGAAGAGCGGGGGAGGTAGAAGAAGAGGGAAGGGTAGAGTGAGAAGAACTAGGATGAAGAGAGAGAAAGAGGGAGATATGTATGTTATATGAGGTAGGGAGTAGAAAGAGGATGGTTTAGTGTGTATTAAGGAGAGTAGAGAGAGTGGGTTGGTCGGAATTGAGAGAGAGGAGGGGATAGGGATGCGAGGGGAATGAAGCAGGAAGTGAGTGATAGAAGAAGGGAATGTTGTATGTTGAAGCTAAGTAGGAGATGTAGAGATAGAGGATCGGGGAAAGAAGAGAGGGGAGAGGTAGGGAGAGAGGAAGAGATGGGAGGGAAATGGAAAGAGGATTAGAGATTAGAGGATAAAAATGTGGATATATTGTATGTATGATGATGATAGAGGAATTGATGGTATGTGTATTTTTATGTGTTTTATGTAGAGGATTTTGGAGAGGTATGTGTTTTTCGAATGAAGAGGGGGGGGAGAAAAGGGAGGAAGGAAGTAGGAAGAGAAAAGAGGGAAAAGAAGAGAGATGAGGAGGAAAGATGAAGGGAGGAGGAGAGGGGGAAATGAGAAGAAAAGAACAGGGAGAGGAGGAGACGGTCAGGATCTAAGGTTAGAGGGTAGAGATTCTCGGAGAGGGAGGAGAGAAGGAAAGGAAAGAGAAGGAACTAAGAGCAAGAGAGGAGAAGGAGGGCAGAGGATGAGAGAGGAGAAGCGAGGAAGGGGAGGAAGAAGGGGATAAGGATAGGAGACGAGAGGCAGGCAGAGTGGATGGGTGTGAGGGGCGAGGAAGAAGGGAGAGGAGAGGAGGGGAGGAGGAGAAAAGATAGGAGAGGCGCAAGGAGAAAACAGAGATGGGAGAGGAAAGAGAGAGGAGAAGAAAGAGGAGGAAGGGAGAAGGAGAAGGGGAGGGGGATGAGGTGTTAGTAAGTAAATTCAGGGAAGAAGAAAGGACGGTAGAAAGAAGGTAGGAGGGGACCAGGGGGTAGAGAGAAAAAGAAGGAGAGGGAGAGGAGGGAAGCGAGAGAAGGAGAGGGAAAGAAGGGTATGAAAGGTAAGGGGTAGGGAGAGGGAAGCAAAGAGAAGGAAGGGAGGAGAGAGAGGGGAGGCAAGAGGAGGAGAAGAGGAGGGGGAGAGAATTGAATATAAGGGGGAAAGAGGAGAAGAGGAGGATGTGGGGACAGGGGAGGGGACGATGAGAGGGAGAGGAGAAGGAGGACGAAGAGAGGAGGTATGGTGTAAAGGCGAGGAGAGATAAGGAGAAGGGAAGTAGGTAGGTGTAGAGGAGGGAGCGGAAGAGAGAGGAGAGGGGAGGGGAGAAGAGGGAGGAAGGAGGAGAAGGGAAGAGGAGAGAGGAGGAGTAGACGATGAAAGAAAGGAGGGGAGAGGGAGGAGAGAAGAGAAAGAAGGGCAGGGATGAGAAGGGATGTGGGGAGGTATGAGAGAGAGAGGAAAGAGAAGATGAAGAGGAGGAAGAGGTAGAGAGAAGGTGTGGAAGAGAGATGGGATGTATTGGAGAGGAAGGAAGGGGAGTAGAGGGAGGGAAGAGAAAGAGAAGGGAAGGAGAGGTAAAAAGAGAAAGGATGGGGTAGGAGTGAAGGAGAGAGGACGAGAAAGGAGGAAGAAGAGGGAGAAGGTAGAAGAAGGGAGATGAACGACTGAGGTAGAGAAGCAGGGAGAGAAGGAGAGGAAGAAGGAAAGGGGTGAGAGTAGAAGAGGGAGGAAGGGAGAGAAGAAAGAGTGAAATAGAAGAAGAGAGTAAGAAAGGAGAATAAGAACAAGAAAGAAAAGCAGGAAGGAAAAGAAAGGTGAAGGAAGATGGAGAATTGAAAGGAAGGAAGGGGAGGAAGGAGAGAAGGGGAGGGAGATGGGAGTGAGAGAGAAAGATAGACGGAGTAGGAGAAAGCGAAGATAGATAGCGCGGTGTTATGATAAAATGGAGGAGGTAGTGGAGGTAGTGATTAGATTGAGGAGGTGAGGAGGAACGAGAGGAGAAGATGGAGAAGAAAAGCGAAAGGAGGGAAGAAGGAGACGGGAGAAGGAAGGGGGGAATGAGAGAAAAGGAGTAGGGGAAAGGAAGGAAATGCGAGAAGGATAAGTGGCAGAGAAATAGAGGGAAGAAGGGAGAAGAGAGAGAAAGGAGAGGAAATGAGGAGAGGAAAGAAGGAAGAGAAGCGAAGGAGTGAGAAGAAGCGAGGAGGAAGGACGGGAGGAGAGGGAGGAAAGAGAGGCGAGATAGAGAGAAGAGAGAGGAGGAGGAGGAGGATGAGGAGATAGAAAAAGGTGGATGGAAGGAAAGGAGAAAGAGAGGAGAGAGAAGAGAAGACGAAGAAGGAGATATGAGAAGAAGACTAGCAGAGCTGAGCGAGGAAACGGGCGAAAGGAATAGGAGGGAATATATCGAAGAAGAGAATAGGGAGGCCACCGCAGTAAGGAAAGGATAGAAGCGATTAGATCGAACGGGAAGGATGGAAGGGGGAGGGAAAGAGGGAAGAGAGAAAGAGGGGGAAGTAGGAAGGAAGGGGAAGGCAGGGGATAGATAGGAAGAGAGAGGAGCAGGTGTAAGCGCGGATTAGAGCGAGGGAGGAGGGAGAGAGGGAGAAGAGGAAGGAAGAATGAAGAAGGAGAGGGGTAGGAGAGGAGGAGCAGAGGGAAGAAAGGGTGCACGAGAGGAAGAATTGAGGAAGAGAAGGGAAAGCGGGAGAAGAGAAGAGGAAAGGGATGAGGAGAAGGAGGCGAAGGGATTGAGGGGAGAAAGAAAAGAAGGGAAGAGAGGTGAAGGAAGATGAGACGGAGCGGACGAGAAGAGGGACAGGAAGAGGAACGGGAAGACGAAAGATGGACGAAGGAAGGATGACAAGGATACGGCACTGAGCGAAGAAAGGAGAGAGAGGAGAGGAAGCAGCGGAGGGGAAAAGGAAAGCGGAGGGAAAGAAGGGAGAGGGAGGATAGGAGGAGGGAGGGAGGATAGAGGGAATTAGGTTTAGTGGAAGGAGAGGAGAGGAGGCAGAAAGAGAGATGGAAAGAAAAGAGAGAGAAGGGGAAGAGGACAAGTTAGGAAAGGAGAAGGGAAGAGAGAGAGAAAGGGGAGGGGGAGGTAGGGAGTAGCGACGGAAGCGAGGGGATGAGAAGAAGGAAGAGCACTAAGGGGAGAGGAAATGGAGAAGAGGAGAGGAAAGAAGAATGGAGAGAGAGTGATGAGAAAGAGGAGGGGAGAAGGGAGGAGGAGGCCGCACGCATCACGACACGAGAAGCGACGGAGATGGAAAAGGAAGCGCAGAAGGAGATAGAAATAGAAAGATATTGTAGGGATAGGAAGGAGAAGGAGTGAAAGATGATAGGAAGATATGAATCGGAAGAAAGAAGGGGAGGAAGCCAGGCCGAGAGCGGGAAGATACGGAGACGAGAGAGGGAGAAAAAGAAGAAGAACCGCAGAAGAGTGAAAAGGGAGGAAGAGAAGAAACGAACGAAGGCAGAGAGGGAGCGAAAGCGAGGGAGAGAAAGGGAAAGTAGTGAGAAGGTTGGCAGGCGAGGAGGAGAGAAGGGGAGAAGAGAGCAGGAGAGAGGAGAGAAGGAAGGAAATACGGAAGAGACGAGAGTGAAAGAGAAGAAGAAGAGCGGAGAGAGGAGAAGAGAGAGGAGATGAAGAAGGGAAGGGGAGGAAGAGACGAATATCGCGGGCGATGAGAGGAATAGAGATAATGGAGAGGACGGGAGAAGAGGGGAGGAGAAGGGAGAAGAAGAGGGAGAGAAGGAAAGAGCAGAGATGGAAGAGAGAAGGGAAGAAGGAGGAGAAAGAAGGAAGAAGAAGGAAGAGAAGAGGGAGGAATGAAGAGACGAGAGGAGAGAAGAGATCTTACAGAGAGGGGAGAGGGAGAGGAGCGATACGTAGAAGGACGCAGAGGACGAAGAGAGGGAGGCGGAGGAGAGATGAAAGGGAGAGGAAGAGAGGAAGAGAAAGAGAGGAGAGAGAGGAGGCAGCAGAAGAGAAGGGGAGAGAGGGGAAAGAGGAGAGAGAGGAGAAGAGAGAGAGAGCAGAAGGAAGAAGGAGGAGAGGAGGAGAGGAGAAGAGAGGGGGAGAGGAGGGAAGAAAGGGAGAAAGGGAGAGGAGGAGAGGGGAGAGAGAAGAAAGAGAGAGAAGGGAGGAAAAAGGGAGGACGAGAGAGAGGAGGGAGGAGGAAGAAGAAGAAGAAGAGAGAAGAAGAGGAGAGGGGAGAACGAAGAGAAAGAGAGAAGGAGAGGAGGGAAAGAAAGGTGTAGAGAGTAGGAAGGAAGGACAGCAGGAGAAAGGAGATACGGGGAGAGAAGAGAGCGAGGGAGCGAAGACCGCACAGACGGGACGAAGAGAGAGCGAGCGAGGGGAGAAGAACCGTAGGGTGGACAGAGCAGAGACGATTGCAGGAATGAACGGCCTATGGCAGAGCAGACTGGGGGGGGAGAAGTAGGGAAGAAGAGGAGAGAGGTAGGGGAGTTAGGAGAAAGGAGAAGGAGGAGGGAGAATGGAGGAGATAGAGGAGGCAGAAGAGAGGGAGAAGGAGGAGTAAATGAGAGGGCTAGTAGCGGAGGAAAAGAGAGGAGAGGATGAAGGAAGGTAGAAGAGTAAGGAGAAATAAAAGGAGGAGAAGAAGAGAAGATAGAGGAAGAGGAATGGGAAAGGAACGAGAAAAGAAGGGAGAGAAGAAAAGAAGAGAGAGAGAGGCGGAGAAGAGAGGAAGAGAAGGAGAAGGAAGCAGAGAGAGAAGGAGAAGAGAAGAAGGGAGAGCGAGAGAAGAGAGGGAGAGGGGAAAAGAGAGAGGAGGAAAAGGTAGACAGGATGAGTGAAGGATTTATCGGAAGGAGCGAAGAGAGGAGGGAGGGAAGAGGGAAAAGACGGAGGAATGAGAGAAAGAGAAGGAGATTAAAGAGACGAAAACGAGATAAGAGGAGAAGAAGAGGAGAATTATGAAAGAAAGAAGGAGAGAGGAGCAGGGAGAGAGTAGAAAGAGAGGAAGGAAGGAGGAGAGAGGGAGAGCGCAGAGATGACGCAGAAGAGGAAAGAGAAGAGACAGGGAAAGGAGAGAAAGCAGCAGAGGAATGGATGAAGAGAGACAGAGGAAGAGAGAGAGGAAGACGAAGAAGAGAAGAGCAGAGCGAGCAGAGGAGAAGAGAAGAACGAGAGAGATAAGACGATAGAAGAGAAAGGCGGAGAAGGAGAGAAGGAAAGAGAGAGAGAGAAGAAAATCGAAAGACGAGGAGAGGAGGAGGGAGGAAGAAAGAGGAGAGTAATAGAGAGAGGGAGAGAGCAGAGAAGAGAGAGGATGGAGGGAGGAAGAGAGATTTGAGAGAGGGAGAAGACGAGCGAAGAGATAGAGAAAAAGAAGAGGAGAGGGGGCCGGAGAGAGAAAAGGAGAGGAGATACACGAAGAAGGAGGGAGGACAAGGAATGAAAAGGAGAGAGAGAAGCAGAGAAGAAGGCAAGAGGAAGAGAGGAGGAGAAGACGCAAAGGAAGGGGGAGGGACGGGAAGAGAGAAGAAAATACGCAGAGTAGAGAGGAAGAGGAGGAGTTAAGGAGGATTGGAGTACGAGAGGAAGAAGATGGTATGAGGACGAGGAGAATAGAGTGAGGAAAGGAAGAGATGGAGAGAGAACGGGGGAGAGAGCAGAGAAGTGAAGGAGAGAGACAGGGAGAAGAGAGGAGGAGAAAGAGAAGGAAGTAAAGGAGATAAAAAGGAAAGGAGGGGATAAGAGGAGGAAGACAGAGAGGCGAATAAAATAGAAGACAAGATTAGAAGGGGGAGAAGAGAAGGGAAGAAGGAAAGGGATGGAAAAGAAGGAAAGAAAGAAGAGAGGAATGAAGGAAAAAAGGAGGACGAGGAGAAAAGGAAAGAAAGAAGAAACAGTAGAAAAGAAGGATTTAGAAGAACGATTAAGCAACGTACAGGATAAGGGGGATTTGGAAAAAAGAATTAGCACAAGAAAAGAATCAAAGGGAGGAGGAAAGAACGCAGATATAAAGAATGCACGAAGGAAAGAGATTATGAAGAAGAGGAAGAAGAAAGGAATAATAGGAAATGGAAATCAGAAAGGAATAAGAAGGCCAAAGAGAAGAATTAGAAGAAAAAGAAGAAAGCAGAGAGTAAGGAAGATAGATGGGAAGAGGAAAGAGAGAGAAGGAAAGGGAAAGAAAAGAGAAGAAGACAAATTAGTTAGAAGAGAAGGAAAAGGAATAGGAGGAATTTGAAAGAATAAAAGGGAGTAGGAAAGAGGAGAAGAGCAAGGGAGAAAAATAGAGGGAAAGCAAGTAAGACGAAAGAGAGAACAGGAAAATAGGATTAAAAGACACGAAAGAATAAGAGAACGAAAGAGGAAGAAAGAGAGAAAGAAGGAAAAGAAAAAGAAGGAAAGAAGAAGAAGGATAAGAGAAAAGGAAAAACGGAGGAGAAAAGGAGAGGGAAAAGGGAAAGAAAGAGACGGGATAATAGATAGCTAGATAGATAGATAGATAATAGATAGGACAAACAGATAGATCGATATGATAGATAGATAGATGATGATTAGATAGATAATAGATTAGATAGATAGATAGATGATTAGGATAGAGTAGATATGATAGATAGATAGGATAGATAGATAGACTAGATAGATAGATAGATTAGCATAGATATTGACAGATAGGATAGGATAGGATAGATAGATAGATAGACAACAGCTACGATAGATAGATAGATAGATAGAAGTAGATAGATAGATATGATATGATAGATAGACTTAGAGTGATAGGATAGATAGAGTAGAAGATAGATAGATAGATGAGATATATATAATACGATAGATAGATAGATTAGATAGATAGAGAGAGAGAGAGAGAGATAGATAGATAAATAGATAGTAATAGATCAAAGCAGATGATAGATGGATAGATAATAGATATGATAGAGATAGATAGAATAGATAGATAGAAAGCTTAGAGAGCTAGAGAGAGAAAAAGAGAGAAATAACGCGAGACGCAGACAGAACGAGAGATATATACTATATTATAAGTATATAGTATAGAAAAGAGAAATGACAAAAGAAAGACAGAGGGGAGCGAGGATAGAGAGAACACACATTAGACCTAGCGGGCGTGATGCGTGGGCACAACGCACACCCGTATGCACTCGCATCGCCTCCAATGCGTCGTAAGCCGTCGACGCAGCGCTTCATACTATTTACTCTCTCTCTCTCTCTCCTCTCTCTCTCTCGTCTCTCCTCTCTCTCTCTCTCTCTCTATTCTCTATCCTCTAGTCTATCTCTCTCTCTCTCTCTCTCTCGTCTTCGCTGCTCTCTCTCTCTCTCTTCTTCGTCTCTCCTCTCTCTCTCTTTCTCTCTCCTCTACTCCCCCCCAGCCCTCTCTCACTCTTTCTCTCTCGTCATCTCGTGGAAGGGATGCCCTGCTCTCACACTCTCTGTCCATATCCTCTTTCTCCGGCTCTCTCCACTACTGCTCTCTTCTTTATTTCTCTCCCGCATCTCTCTCCCATCTCTCCCTCTCTCTCTCCATTCTCTCCCTTCTCGCCATCTCTCTACTCGCCCTCTCTCTCTCTGTCTTTCTCCTCTCTCTCCCCCCTCCTCTCTCACATCTATTGTCCTCTGCTCACCCTCTCTCTCTCTCACTCTCCGTCTCTCATCTCTCCCTTTCTCTATCTCTCTTCCCCTCCTTCACATCTCCTCTCTCTCATCTCTTTCTTCTCATCACTCTCTCTCTCTTCTCTCTCGTCTCCCCCTCTTCTCTCACCTCTCACTCCCTCTTCACTCTTCTCTCTCTATTTTATCCTCTCGGTCTCTCTCGCTCGGATCTCTCTCTCTCTCCATCATTCTCACTTTCTCTCTCTTTCTGCTCTCTCTCTCTACGCCTCTCTCCCTCTCTCTTCTCTCGTCGCCCTCTCGCATCTCATCATCTCTCTCTCTGATCCCCCTCTCTCTTTCTTCTGCCTTCCCATACTGCTCACTCTCTCTCCTAGGAAAGTCTCTGTCTCTCTCTCTCTCTCTCTCTCTCTTTCTTTCTCCCTCTTCATCTCATGCTCTCGTCTTTCTCTCTAACTCTGCCTTTCTGAAGAAACCCCCTCTCTCTCTCTCTTCTACTTTCGTCGTCTGTCATTCTGTCGCGCGCGTCATACTCTCTCTCCTCTATTTTTCTGCTCTCTTCTAATCTCGTCACTCTCTCTCTCTTTCTCGCGCTATCTCTCCCTCTCCAGATCACTCTCTCCTTCTCAGTATCTGCCAATTTTCTCTCTCTCATCCACATCTGCTCGTCTTTCTCTCTCTCTGGTCTCTGTCGCTGCTCTCTCTCATCCTCTCACGCTCAGTGAGAGAAACTCGGCGTCGCTTTGTTTAGGAGAGACCAATCCGCCACGCTAAAGCGTTCCGATCTCTCGTCTCGTCGTTAAGTAGGTCCTTCCCTACGAGGAAGGCATGCAACAACAACCAGAACTCTTCAGCATGCTCTAAACCGTGGGGAAAATATATCATACACAACCCACAACACACACACACACGACACACAGCCCCACACACATGCGCACACACGCCGCGCACACACAGCACACACACACAATCACACACACACACACAAGCACACACGCCCCGCCCGCCCACACACCAGAGACTGCCCACACGGCCAA